TCCCGTACGCCCGCTGCCTCTGGGTCGTCAGGGGTCGCCCTTTGCGTATCAGCTCGCCCATCGCGGATCGCCCCCGACCATTCCCGGGAGCGTAAGGCTTCCGCACGATCAATCTACCCTGGGAAGCACGAGCACGATCGATCGATCCGTCTTGGGAACATCGATCGATAGATTTCCCAGGAAGGATCGCCCTCGATCTTTCCTTGGAAGCACGAACCTACAGTTTTCGGAGGTTCGCGCGGAAATTTCTTGGTCGGCGCTGGGCCCCTCTGCCCGTCCCGCCCCCCCCCGCGCGCTCCGAGCGACCGGGAAGGTGTCTTGGGGAGGGGAGTCCAGCGCCCACCTAGGACAGCAGTGTGGACCTCCAGAAAATTTGACCGCGCCGTTCTGGCTTCTGCTATGGTTCGCCTGGCTGGTCTCCGATGAAGAGCCCGCTCTTGCGGCCCCGCCTGCCAAAGCGGGGATTAGCGCCCTCGTGGATAGAGAGGTGGCAGGGGCCTTGCGCCTGGTGATGGATGCACGAGGGGCTCAGTCACCCAAGGAGCATTCGTACTCCACGGTACTTCTGTAGGCCTTCCTATCTCTGGAGTTTTTTCAAGGGTTGCTCTCCTCCTTCTCCTCCTCCTCCCTCCTCTTCCTCCCTTCCTCCGAACTTTTAGTTTGTCTGGTATTGTATGTGTCTAGGTACGTCAGAATCCAGAGGACACGGACTCAACCACATGGTCTGAGCTATGCCAGGAGGCTTGTCAGCAGCGGCGGTCGTTCGTTTGTTCGTTGATTCGTTCGTTGGGATGTATCCCCCTGCCGTGCACGAGCTTGCCACAGCCACGTTCGCGCTCCCTGTTCGATTCGTTCTCACGGGCTTCTCGGCCTGGATTGCGCGAGGGTCGCGCTAGCGTACCTGTTGCTTTCAGAGATTACGAAATCAAATTGCGACAATGCTGCGAGCACCCCTCTGGGCCTTACGAGGACCATACAAATCCTCAGTGGCCCCAAACTTCAGACGGGCGGCTGGAGCCACCGACTCGGAAGACTGAGTCGTCACGCTCGGGGGTCTTGCGGGACGGCCACCCAGGAAGCGTTTGGAGCATGCAGGCACGCCTTGAGTCGAAGCTGTGAAGGTTGGGGCCCTCGACAGGCAGCCTCACAAGCGGGAGAAAGGTCCACAGCGAAGTCCCAGGCATGCTCAGTCGGGCCCCCTGGCCGCAGAAGGCCCCCGCAGGCAACCCTGGTCGTATCATCGGCCAGAGTGCCCTTTGGTGCAGGTCGGCGGCGCGCCGAAGGGGGGAGGCCAGGGGGGCAGGTCTTCTCGGAAGGCGGCGGGGCCACAGAGGGGTTCTCAGAAGGACGGAGGCCTTCGAGCCTGCTGGCAGGGCCCACCCCCGCTGCCTTTCCCCCTGGGAGCGCCGCCGAGCGGAGGGACCGCCCAGAGGTTGCCACAGGCTTAGCACAGCGCTGCCCAGCGCACTGCTGCAGTCACAGCACTGCGCCGCACAGCACGCCGGAGACCAGCACAACGAGACCCATTCGCGCCTGTGCAGCACAGCGCCTTACAGCACACGGAGGCTCGCCCTGGTACTCCAGTTTTCTCGTCCAGCTGAGGGTCGTAGTGCCCCACTGCTTCGCTAGGCAACTTGTGTTCGCGGGGGTGGACAGAGTCTACTGGATCCGACGGACCCGGAGCGGCTGCCAAGGTTCCCCAACAGGACATGCAGTCGACCATGCGCTGCTCCGTAAGTGACCCCAGAGTGTCAAGAGACGTCCCAAAGTCGCAAGAGTCCTCCCAACGGAAAGAGTCCCAAGCGTCTGGAGAGGCGCAATGAGTAACATTCAAGGAAGGGATCCTTCAGAGGCTTTACAAAAGGAGAGCCCCCAGGGAGAGAGTGGCCTCAGACGCCCTTTTGGCGTTTCTCACACAATATGAACACAATACGGCCATGCTCGCGCCGAAAACCACATTAGGGCCAGAAAATCAGGAGAGGCATCGTTGGTTGAAGGGGGCTCGAGTCTGGCAGGATCTAGGACCCTTTTGCTGGGCGCCTGGCTCGGGGTGCGGAGGCTTGACAGATTCGTCGGGCGTTCGGCTGGTCAGTCCGCGATGTGCTCGGGGGGAACTGATCCGCATGGCTGGGCAGACCCGATGGGCTTCCAGCCAGTCGGCCGGGCAGATGTGCTGGCCGTGCAGGTCCGTCGAGCTTTCAGCGAGTCGGTCCGAGATCCTCAGTCTTCCGGTCAGTCAGCTTAGTTGTGCATGGATGCAGGGCCGAATTGATTGGCCTGGACTGGCTTGGGTATGCGCCTCCAAGAATGGATCCGCTCCACCTCTTGTTTTGGAGGGTTGAGTTGTAGTGGCTCCGCTTCGCTCTCTGCGACTCTCCCTGGAAGCTACAACATCGTTGTAGCTCAATTCTTTGAGAGTGCGCTCACGGAAGCCAGGTATGAGCATGGATCGGGTGGTTGGACAGATCATCTGACTAACCTTGCAGCAGGTCAGGTTATTCCTAGTGCGTAGGTGTCCAGCATAAGAAACGACAGAAATCAATACTCTAGCAAGAAGATTTCAGTTTCCTGGATTTCCACTACTGCCATGGTGTCCAGTAGTGGACCCCATGGCACGAGTTCTGTAGTGTTGTGTACTGCTCGCTGATGTGTCTAAGCGAATCGTGGCCGTGGGTTTGATGTCTTCCTTCGGCAGGAGTTGAACGCAGAGCAGGTGGCGTACGCGAAGTTCCACGGGAAATGCGGACATGCTAACAAATCTAGCAGGCCTTGCTTGTGTAACCGTCGCTGAAACGATGTACTTCGAACTTCACGGCTTTCGACCATATGGGTGGAAGGGGCGTTCAGGGTGACGGCGAGAGAATATTTCGAACTCGAGCGAGAGATTGTGAAATTCGCCGCCCACGCGCAACAGTGGACACCAGCTTTGGCGCCACAGGTTCAACCAGTGGTGCCTGGACGAGAGCGCCAAGCTGGGGAAGGAGATCAAGAAGAACAAGGCTGAGATCGAGTCTCTCACTGAGGATCAGAGATTATCCTGCCTCTTCTTATCGTCCTCCCTCCTCGCCTTTCTCTTCTCCTTACCCCTTCCTCCCTTCTCTTGATCATCCCTCCTCCGTCTTCCTTTCTTGTACGCTTACTCAGTATGAATACGACTCTTTTCTCTCTCCCTCCCCCGCCCCCCTCCGTGCATGTTTTTTACTTTTATATGTTGAACTTTTAATTATACAGCGGATTTCATCAATTGATGTCCCATGCCTTTGCAATCGGAGTGTTTCCGGTGTCTCAAGATGGTGCTGCCGCTGCAGCGTTGGCCTCATTTTAGGATCGGCGCGTCCCGTCGTTCAGAATGGCGCTCTCGCCCCAGCGCGGGTCACTTTTCTGGATAAGAGTCTTTCCTCATCGTTGTCGCCCCCCTCCTTTCCCCTCCTCCGCCTTCTCCTGGTCCTTCTGCTCCTTCCGCTCCTTCCACTCCAGTTCCCGCTGCTGCTGTTCGTCCTCGTCTTCCTCCTTCCTTATCCTCCCCCTTTTCCTCTTGCTCGTCCTCCTGCTCATCCGCTACCTCCTCCTCCTTCCCCCCCCTTCCCGATCGCGCATAACACGATGGGGTCTTTTCGTGAGTTCCGGGTCCGCTATGACGGGCGCCCGCGGATAGAGAAAATTCAGCCCACTTGGAACGGATGGGTGGGAGCGGCAGGATATGAGACATGTCGCGAGCACACTCAGCTTGCCCCTCTCCCCTCCTCCCATCTCTCTTCCACATCCCTCACCCCTCCCCTCCCCCTCCCCTCTCCCCTTCACTCCGTCTTCCATCCCCTCCCCCTCCTGCTCCTTCTCTTCACTCCCTCCGCCCCCTTCTTCACTCCATTGCCATCTGTGAGTAAGGTCTAATCGCCCACCGCTGCTGTGGGGCGTCGTCTACTGGCTCATGCGGACCACTCCCGAACCCGTGGCGACTTCCAGATCTTTTAGGCAATCGTATGTACGCTATGAGTGCCATCTTTTTCACACATGAGTAACGTGAATTCTCTTCTTTGTGGACGGTAGCCTCTGCTGTCTTCCTGTGTGTCCTCCCCTTGGCTCTTCTAATTCTGCGTTCTCTTGTCTTTCGTGTCTCACGTGCGTGACGGCCAGACGTAATTCCTCACGGCTCCGTACATCGGAATTGTCGTTACAACCACTGCGCACATCTGAAAGGTTCTTGGAGCGGACTCCTCATCCTGACCATGTCATTACTTGGTAGCGGCACCGTCCGACCAGTTCCGCAGTTTCGCACGTTTCACGCATTCCATTACCAGTGGGCCCCGCGAAAACAAACGACGTGTACAGAGGGCCAGGCCGACTGTACTTGGCGACGCTGACGACAGAATGCTGGACTGTGCTGTCGCGAAGAATCAGCGATAGCCGAGTGGATGAACCAGGGTCACGCTCCAGACGCCGGAGGGCACCTTGGCTGCAACTTGGGGCTTGGTGACCGAGCCCGCGTAATGCGACCGAGCGAATAAGAAATGTCGGGGTTGCAGCGCCCTGCGGGGATGTGGTCGATTGAAAGATATTCCCAGTTCGTCGTCGTCGCCGTCGCCGGCGTTGAGGCCGCCAGGCCGCAGCCAGCGACCTAGGCGAGAAACAGCTGTGTCTTTGAAGTGTCCTTGCCCGATTTATTTTTTGATCGTTTGGTCGCATTAAGTCCGCGCGGGCACGACCATTTGGCGCACCAATCACAGTCGCCGCACCTTCACCGGTTTGCGTGTCGTCAAGCGCTCCAGGTAGCTAACCTTGTGATAACCGCTGACGGGGGCGCGCCTCACGAGATGGCTGCCGTCTTTGAGGCCAAGGATCTGCCTTGTCTTCATTCAGATGCGGCCGTTAGCGACCGTGAGTCAATGTTCTGATGTTGCTCAAGATCTTCATCCACGAACTGATATTCTTCTGGGTCAGTCCTTTTCTTCGCCACCTCGGCTCCTCCTCTTCCTCTTCGCCCCCCCCCTCGCCAGCAGGAGATGAACAAGCTGGAGGCGCAGGCCGCCGAGCTCAAGGATCAGGTGGCGCAGCTGACCGCCGACGCCCGGCCGCCTAGCGCGCGCTGGCCCGCGGCAGCGAGCCGCGAGCTGGGAGTCCACTGGCGGCGGCGGCCCAGAGCCTCGAGGCAGCCCTTTGCGAGGTGCCGCTGCCGTGGGGTGATGGTCAGAGGAGGGAGGTATCGATGCCGCTGCCCTTGCCGCCTCGTTTTCGCTTTTTTGGCCCTCCTGGGCGGCCCTCGTCGCCACAGCTTGCTTCGCCTTGAAATTTTGAAAATTTTGTTCAGAACGCACCCCTGGAGAGGTCTGGGGAGCAGCGGTACCGATAATCTTTCGTCTTGCCCATATGGGTGCCGGCTGTGCGCGCCGGCACTGGTCCTGGGCCAGGGCCTTGGTCCGGCTAAGCGGTCGGTGCCAGAGAGCAGCCCGTGGTGCTGATCCTGCGCTCAGGACGAGCCTGGCCAGGGGTGGTGGGGGCGGTGCATACGTGCAGAAGGCGTCGCCCGACGACGACGACGATGACGACGGCGGCGGCGGCGGCGACGACGCCGACGACGCACGACGACGATGCCGACGCACCGTGACGACAGCGGTGACAGTGTTGGCAGCGACGGCGGCGACGGCGCGGTGCGCCGAGCGTTCAGGGCCACCGTGCTCCGCCGTGCTCTCGGCTTAGGTCTCGACGCACGAGGCGGACATGAAGAAGGCCACGGCCGAGCGCGCGAGCGACCGCAAGGCAGCCCTGGCCGAGGAGAAGGACTGGGGTGCTGGCTGTTGGAGCAGGCTGGGAGTCTGAGGTGGCCCAGCATTGGTTCCGACCAGCATAAAGGGGGGCAGGATCGAGATGCTGGTTTCGAGAAGGCTTTTTTTCTGTCTCAGAGGGCCGTTTTCAGGCTCCAGGACCGTCAAACATAGATCTGGGGTGAAGAATTGCGCCAGATGGACCACGGGAGGGGTCAGGGGTTCGATTCTGAGCGGATATGCTTTCATCCATCCCTTCTTGCCCGATTTTCACGGGGCCCCGTCAGCTCAGACCCCTCTGGCCGCTTCCAAGACCGGGGTGCTGGCTGGGGCATCGATCGACTTCCTCGTATCGGAGATGCTTCGGTCGGCCGTGATTCTGGAGGCGGTGGCGGGACAGCACACACCCTATTCAAAGCGGGCCACTGTGATGCTGGCGTTGCCCTGGCTTTCTGATTGGTAGGTCGACCCTATCACATAAAGGTTACCCTTGTGTCCTGTGTGTTGCTACCCATGTCTTCTTCATTCCTATGGCAATGTGGCCCTCGGAAGGGTCTTGTGCCCTCTCGCGTGTCATCTCCAATCAAGCTCCACAGAGCACAGCGCAACAGAGCGATGTGTAGGGAGAGCTCTGAAGCAGCAGGCCGCCAGCGAAACGCGGATCGTGGATCCTAATCGGCGGCGAGCGAAGGGGGGGCGTGAGAAGGGGCGGGCCTTCTCAGAAGGCTCGGAAATCCTCAGGCGTTCGGATAATTTTTTTAAAGCCTTCTCAGAAGACACGGATAACTTCTCAGAAGGCGCGGTGGCTTCTGAGAAGCCCCGCCGCCTTCTGAGAGGGCCTTCTCCTCCTCACTTAGTTCCCCCCCTCCCTCGCCGCCGACCTAAGCCCAGGGGCAGATTCTGGGTGTCCTGGGTCGAGCTCGAGGGAGGAGCGGCGAAGCGTAGAACGGGTGGAGGAAGAGCAAACTGCATAAACAGAACCTTCAGGAGGTCTGCGCGGAGCTCCGAACATTTACGTTTATGCAGCTTGTTTTTCCTTCACATAACTCCTCCGCTTTAGACGCACGTGCTGTTTCCTTGGAACGTGGCGCGCTCGTGTATAGTACGCCGCCGATTGCCACCGCCTGCGCCCTTCATGGGTTCGCCCTCTGGCGCACGGGCTTGACCTTGACCTTGTTCTTTCTTCAATGGGGAGGGCGATAGCGCGTAGCAAATTTTGGAGGACGCCGCACTGTCAGAGGCGGTTGGTCGTGCGGCCGGGCGTCTGGGGGGCGGTGCGGAGCCCTTGCGTCGTGGGGGGGGGGTCGCCGCGACGCCCAGACGAGGTCGGGACCGCCCACACGCACTGAGCCCCTGGCCAGGCCCAGGGCGGCAGTGGACAGGCTGCAGCCACCAGCACAGCCACCTCGCCGCCTTTTTGTGCTCGCGCTGCACCGCTACGGCTTGAGGCCACCACCGCCCACCCACGAACTGCTTCACACTGCACGCAGATTGCCGCCATCAGTGGGTGGGTGTCTGGACTGCTCCAAGCTTTCGTATAAACACCCCCACATGCCCCCCCGTCCTGCGGCCCGTTCCGCCCCTCGCCCCCGAAGCAACCGACACCATCCCCTCGAGCGATCCACCCCCTTCCCGCGCTCCGCGATCCGGCGCAGTCTGGGGTGGGGAGGTAGAAGAGGCTGTCGGTGCTCCGCGGTTGACATACCAGCACACAAACATTGAGTTTTGCACTCGGAGCAGGCATGACGCCCCAGCTCTCCAACCGAGGCACGAGACAGCAGGCAATTGTCCATCGGCCCTGTCCGTAGTGGCACAAGCGCATGAGTTTTCAACGTGGGCTTTGTGGACATTAGAACAAACTCGAATTGAATATGCGTATGTTGCTCTGCTGTCTGAATGTTCTCTCCGAGCTGCCTCAAGTTGGGCAGGCAGATGTCATTCCATCCACTTTTTTTTTTTTTTTTTTTTTTTTTTTTTCTCTCTCTCTCTCTCTTTCTCCCCCCTTCCTTCCCTCTCTCCATGCAGCTCTGCCTCCCTCCCTCCCTTCTTCTCTTTCTTCCGCCCTCCCCTCCCCCTCCCTCCCTCTCCACGAGAATCCGTCTCCCTTCTTACTTCGCTCCCTCCTCCTGCCCCCTCCCTCCTGTCCCCTCCCTCTTGTCCTGTCCCTCCCTTCTCCTCTCTCTTTCCCGCAACTCCATCCTTTATTCCCTCCCCTGGGAGACGCGCATGTAAACCCTGGGCTCAGGATGGGTCTGGCCAGGTTCGATGTGGGCGGATCGTCGGCTGCCAGTTGCTCCTCCCGCCTTGGCCGTCGCTCCCACGACAGGACTACAGCGAGAGCGTCGACGCTCTGGGCCGAGCCATCGCCTTCCTGAAGGCGCAGGAGTTGTTGCCCCTGGGGGTCGTTGCTGCCTGGGAGGCTGGAGAAGACTGATAGTCTGTATCACAAACTCAAGTTCGCCAGGTCGAACGAGTCAGGGGGGCCAGCCCATTCCCATGCTCCATCCCATAACATAACAAGCAGCGGTGACGCTTCGGTGTTGTGACTGGAACGCGTTCCCACATAGCGAGCGGACGGCCCTCGCGCGCGGTCTCACTATCGACGACCTGGTGGGTGGGAAAGGAGCGCGGGCCGTGCACCTGATAGCTCGACCTGAGCCCCCAGTGTCCCCGAAATCAGACCGTGCAGCAAAGAGGGGAACTCTGTGAAATTCTCCCCATATGGGGGCTGTTCGGACGCACCCCTATCGAGGGTGGACTCCTCCAATCCCATATCCCTGAGTTTGGCCATTACTTTGTCCACTCGAAAGTCCCACAAAGTCAGGGATTGGGGTCGTCATCCCCCCCCGTTATGATGTGTCGGATGGTGAGGAAGATCTGAAGGACGAGGAAGAGACAGATTATGAGCAAGACAATGGGGAGGAGGAGAAACAGTCGAAGTAGAGGTTGGTGTAGCAGTCGCTGGGCTCCTCTGGAGTTCCCTGGTTGTGTTCGACGATGCACGTGCAAAGAAGTGACGGGTGTGGGTATGGCTCGGAATCGCGTCGCTGATTGCGAGAGGCGTGCGTATCGGCACTTCTTCGATCGCAGACGCAATGCTCCGTTGACATTGGCGTCTGGCTGACGTGTCGGCGCATGTTTCCGCTGGAAGCCTCACACGAATAACGCGGCGCCTGGCTTTTGCGCCAAGCCAAGCTATGCCAAGGAGACCTAAGGGACGCCAGGCATTATTTTTATCATCCTTCCTCTGGCGTGGTGCCAGTGGTGCCATGCGCTTCGACGAACCTGGGAAGTGTTGTTTTGTCGCCTTAATGGTCAGGGGGCTCAGACCTCGAGCCCCCAGTTCAGAAGCCGAACATATGATTCCCAAGCTCGATTTTTTTTCAACGAGATGTGTGGCTCATGCTCGGCACCCCTCCAATACAGTTGTTGGACGTGACCCAGGTGTAGGAGGAGCGTGCGAAGGTCTTACAAGTGTACGAGAAGGATGGCGAGGAGGAACCACGAACCTGAGGCCGAGGACAACGATGATACGAATGAACATGATGATGTTGCTGATGTTGATGATGCTGATGCTGATGATGCGATGATGCAGCTGCTGATGTTGAGGCAAACTTGCTGCTGTCGATTGTGATCATGCTGCTGTTGATTATGATGATGATGCCGACGATGGTGACGCTGACGACGACACCGTCGAAACTGATGCTGCTGATGATGATGCGGCTGATGATGATTATGACGATACCGACGATGATGATCGATGACGATGCTTGTGCTGGCATGATGATGCTTGATGATGGTGATGGTGAGGACGATACTGGTAGTAATAATGCGGCTGCTGTTGATGATGTTGTTCTGTTTGCTGATGATGATGCCGTTGTTGTTTCTGCGATCGTTGTGATTGTTGTTGGTGTTGTCGTTATCGTTGTTGTTGTCATTGTTGCTGTTATGGTTGCTATTCGTATTGCGGCTGTTGCGGCTGTTACCGTTGTGTTTGTTATGGTTGTTGTTGTTGTCGTTGTTGTTTTCGTTGGCACTGTCGTTGTGGTTGCTGTTTATGTTGTTGTTATTTTCGTTGTTGTTGTTGTTCTTGCAGTTGAGGTTGTCGTTGTTGTTGTTGCTGTTGTGGTTGTTGCTGCTGTGGTTGTTGAGTTCTCATTTCTAAAGAATAATTGTTGCCGACCCCCTGCGCGGTAACCATCGCATTTTTCGATTATGGTGCTTCTTCCAGGGCTCGTACCCTGCTTTTGCGAGGGACAGCTGGCTATCACCAAACTGGGCTCCTGGCCCCAGAGTTACAAGAACAACGGCTCCCGCCTCATACCTTCACAATTTTCGAAGAAATCGTGCTCTCGCGCGGGACCTCTTAACAATTTATGCGTGGGTCGCGCTCTCGCGCGGGACTTCCTCGAAGTTTGTTCAGACGCCGCGCCCTCGGCACTCGGGAATCACGCTCTCGCTTTTGCTTGTATCAAGGTTTATTTGGAATCGCGCTATCGCTCGAGACTTCCTCGCGATTCACGCAGTACTCACGATTCAGCAGCACGCCTTCTCGACCTGGCCGCTTGGGCCCGTCTTCCCGACCCACCTGTTAGGGTCTACCCGCCCGGTGGGCCCGTCTGGTTTTGCCACGTGCCTGCTAATCCCGTGCTCCATCGTTCTCCCTCACCCTTACATCCGTCCTTCTTTCCCGTGTTTCAGGGGCTGCACCAATTACACGCTGCAGGTTAGGAAGATGGACCCCCAGGGGGGTACTAACAGAGACGACAAGGATTGCAGTTTACGTGTTGAATGGCACGCGAGGAGGTAAGAACGAACAGTCTAAAACGGAACGTTGTTGTTGTTCTTGTTGGAGTAATACATTTTATAGTACGATTACTTCTACTACCACGACTACTATTCGTACCCGTACTACTACCACTACTACTACTACTGCCTTTACTACTACTACTACTACTACTACTACTACTACTACTACTACTACTACTACTACTACTACTACTACTAGTACGACTACTACTAGTACGACTACGACTACTACTACTACTACTACTACTACGTCTACTACTACTACTACTACTACTACTACTACGACTACGACTACGACTACGACTACGACTACGACTACGACTACGACTACGACTACGACTACGACGACGACGACGACGACTACTACTACTACTACTACTCATACTACTACTACTATTACTACTACTACTACTACTACTACTACAATTACTACTACTACTACTACTACTGCTACTACTACTACTACTACTACTACTACTACCACCCTCTTAACTCCATCGATCTTTAATCGGATCCAATCAGCGCTCCCTCCGTCCCTGGTAGGATCCTATCAGGGCTCCGTACATCCGTAAAAGGATCTTATGATAGCGCCATTAATACCTAAGAGGATCCAGTCACAGCTCCATCCACCACCTAATCTGATCGTATTAGAGCTCCATCCATCCCTACTCGGATCCGAATACATCCCATCCATCCCTAACTTGATCCGATTAGATCTCCATCCAATCTTGGTAAGATCCGGTTCGAGCTCTATCCATCCGTCATATGATCCTATCAGAGCGCCATCCATCCTTAATTGGATCCTATTAGAGCCCCATCCATCCCTGACAAGATCTTACTAGAGCTCTGTCCACCCCTGCCAGGACGCTGTTCCATCCCTGATCGTAGGACCGTGTTGGAGCTTCACTCTTCCCGATGAAGATTCTACCAGAGCCGCATCCACCCCTAATCAGACCCTAGTCCGTCCGTAATCAGATCCGGTTATAGTTCCACATACCCTTAGTATGGTCCTATTAGAGCCCGGCCCATGTTTGATAGGATCTTTTCCAGCCCCATCCGTCGCTAATCTGATGCTACTAGAGCTTTGTCCATCCCCAAAAAGATCCCATTGGAGCTCCATCAGTCCCTAGTAGGATGCGATTAGAGCTTCATCCTTCTCTATTGCGGTTCTAGCAGAGCTCCATCCATCTTCGTCAGGGTCCTATTAGAGCTCCTCCCGTCCTAATGCGATCTTCTTAGAGCTCCATCCACCCTTACTAGGATCCTATTAGAGCTCCTTCCACCTCTAACAGGATCCTGTTGGAGCTCCACTCATTTCTGATAGGACCCTTTTGCAGCACCATCCATCCCTGACAGGATTCTATTCGAGCTCCATCCATCCCTAATCGGATTCCATTGGGACTTCATCAGCCCTGGTAGGGTCCTTTTCGTGCTCCATGTTCTTCCGGATAAGAATTGATTAGAACTCCACCCATCCTTCATAGTATCATGTTAGAGCTCCATCCGCCCCGAATAAGGTCTGATTCGGTCCCCATCCACCCCTAATAGGACTTTGTAAGAGCCCCACCCATCCCTAATAGGGCCTTAATGCGAGCACCGTCCATCACTACTAGGTTCCTACTCGAGCCCCATCCAGCCCTAATCGGATCCCATTGGAGCTCCATCAGTCCCTAGTAGGATGCGATTCGAGCTTCATTCTTCCCTATTAAGATTATATTAGAGCTCCGTCGATCCTTACTACGATATTGTTTAAGCACGATCCGTCCCTAGTAAGATCCTGTCAGAACTCCATCTAGCCCTACTGGGATGTTTGTAGAGCTCCACCCACCCTTCGTAGGTCCTTCTTAGAGCTTGATCCATCATCCTTGCTAGGGTCCTGTTAGCGCCCCCCCAAGTATGATCCTATCCGGGCTCCATCCATCCCTAATAGGATCCTTTCCGAGCTTCATTTGTCACTAATAGAGTCTTGTTGGATGTCCACCCATCCCTAATCTGGTCCTAGAACGCTCCAGCCATCCCTAATCTGATCGCATTAGAGCCCCATCCATTATTAATTGAATGCCATTCGAGCTCCATCCATTCCGAGTAGGATGCTCGTAGAGTTTCATCCATGCGAAGTAGGATCCTTGTAGACCTCCACCCGTCCCTATTCGGAACCTATCAGAGCTCCATCCATCCTTAATAAGTTCCGATTAGAGCTCCATCCATCCTTAGTAGGACCCTAGTGGAGTTCCAACCGTCACTAGTAGGACCCAGTATATTAGCTCCATCCATGTCTTTCAGGGTCCGATTAGAGCGCCATCCATCCTTAATCGGATTCTATTACAGCCCCATCTAGCCCTAGTAGGATCCTGTTCGAGTTCCATCCATATATACTAAGAATCTATCAGGGCTTCATCCCCCCTAGTAGGATATTATACGATTACCCGTGCCAGGATCCCATCAGAGCTTTATCCATCCCTAGTAGGATCCCATCAGAGCTCCATCCTTTACAAGTAGGCTGATCTAGGAGCTCCGGCCATCCCGACTAGGATCCGATTCGAGCTCCGTCGGTTCTTCATAGGATCCTATTCGAG